CGCCACTTAGGGGGTAAAGATAAAGGGACCTCGTATAACGGACTATAACGCGTATAGGCAATCGTAAATACCTATGCAGATCTGACGGATACTATCCCTTTATCCGTTAAAGCTCGGAGAGGCCCTAGCTATTAATTTGCACGATCTAAAAAAGGCGGAGTAATTAGCGGGCGGATTATATAAGATATAGGATTACTACGTATAAAAAAGAGACTAAGGCTTTATCCTATACACTCTAAAGGACGTTTTTACCCTACTTAAGACCTAATTCGACGTTAGGCCACGCGTTCTACGGGCCGATTCTAAGATATTTTAGCACCTAGAAGTCGTTACTTTCCTCGCTACTAAGGGGGTAGAAGGCCAGCCGTCGGCACTATATTTATAGGATTAGAACGGCGTTATAGAACGAATTAAAGGCATCGTTAAAAAAAGGGCGAGGGCTATAAGGATTAAAGCTAATCTGCCTATATCTATCTAGCCTAAGATCTTTAAAACTACTATATATCTATGTAATAGAACGCCACGATATATTAACGACTAGCGAACGCTATACAAAGGCCTACGCGGCCGTTAACCTAACCTTACGCACCTATAAGTATACGGCTATAAAGCCTTTATAAAAACACGTGTTACCTAAGCTAAAAGGAACCACCTATAAAGGCTAGAACCGAAGGTATAGATCGGTTATCACGTCGGATACTAATCCTCGAATAGCTTCCGCATTTAGCTGCTATACCTAACGGATATTATCACTATAAAAGACGTAGTCTTTAATAAAGATAAAATATTTAATAGCAGGATTAAAACGCTATAAGCCACGGCTTCCGCTAAGGAAATCAGGGAACGTCTATAATCTATCCGTATTACCTAATCTAAGGAGACCGCGAATAGGCTACTATTAAGGGGCATAGCCGTAGACGTATTAGATCTCGAGTCGGAAAACTCTAACGCCGCCGCTATTACTACGGGTAAAGGCGACGCCACCGCTATTACTACGGGAGAGGCCACCGCTATTACTACGGACACTTTACGGTTCACTACTACGAGGTTTAAACTGTTTCCTATACCTCTAATATCCCCGGAAGATCCCGCGCGCGCGTTCCTTATAGCGTTAGCAGTAGTCAGGGGCGCTAAGGTAAAAGAACACGATAACCACTAACGGACAGCTATAGGTGCCCCTAAGGGGTGCCCGTCGGCTATACTCCCGACGGCCGCGCGCCTATTACCCGCGCGCCCATCTATCACGAGAACTATCGTAAGTCTATACACGACTAAAAAGGTCTAGAACGATAACGCCTAAAAGGCATTCTTTAACGCTAGCAGGACTTATAACCCTACACGCGCGAGGAAGTAAGCTATTAACGACGGCGATATCGGTGGTATAGATTCTACTCCCTCTAATACCTTTCAGCCGCTATCGCACGTAACCCGCGAGGATCTCCCGCCTCCACTAAAGCACCACCGCGATATACACCTCTACCCGTTATAGGAGCGGTAGTTATAGGCCGAGGGGGAATACCTTAAGGGGCACCGATAGATAGGCTACTAGTAGGAGGTAAGTAGTAATCAGGCTAATAAGTACTAAGTCCTCGTCTATAGATAGGTATACACCTATAAATTTAAGAAGGAGGGCACCCTCCTTAAGTATAAGGCACGCCTCGTGGTCCGAGGGGATTAATAAAAACGGTTAGAGACTAAAGATAACTACGCTGTAACGCTAGCCTTATAGTCCTTCCGTATACTAATAGCGATCGCCGCCCGATTTAACCTAGAGATAAGGCAGTTCGATACCGTTAACGCGTTCGTTAACGCTAACCTTAAGGCAAAGGTGTTTATAAAGATACCGTAAGGCTACAAAGTACTAGGTAAGGTCCTACTACTATGGAAAGCCCTCTTCGGTTTAAGGGTATCGCCACTACTATAGTAAAAGGAATTTAGCGGCACGCTATAGAGGATAGGCTTTATAGCCGTCCCTAATAACCCCTATATTATAATCCGCGACGGTTTAATCCTATTCTTCTACGTTAACGATATCGGACTTATATACTATAGAGACCGTAAGACGGACGCCGATAACCTTAAGGCTGCCTTTAAGCGAAGCTATAGGTTATTAGGAGGTGAAGAAATCCGTTAGTTCCTAGGAATTAAGGTCCTAAGGGATAGAGCCACCCGTAGGTTATAGCTATTATAATCCTTTTACGTGGAGAAGATCGCGGTTAAATACTACGTAGATATACTCTGCCGAAAACTATTAAAGGTCGTATTATCTACGGAGCCGGTAATACTCCGAGATAGTACCCGCGCGTCGATTCCCGAGGTCCGTTAGTATTAGGGAATAATCGGTTCTATCCTATACGCCGCTATCGTAATAAGACCCGATATCGCGTTCGCTTACTTAAAGCTTTCCTAGTATAACGTTAACCCCTCCTCTAACCACCTTTAAAAAGGCTTAATAAATACTACTATTCCTCTACTATATAAGATACTACTACTTAGAATTCGGTGGGGATAGACTCTTCCTAATAGTAAGCGACGCGTTCTTTAGGGATAATCCAGACTATAAGAGCTCGTAAGGATATACGATAAAGCTTTTCGGCGGCACCGTTAACTAAAAGGCGGGTAAATAACCGATAGTCACGATATCGTTAATAGAGTCGGAACTACTCGCTCTTACTAAGGCAGCTAAGGAGACGCTATTCGTTAGCCGGATATTAAGGGATTTAGAGCTTCGGCTAGACTAATAATAGCTATAGCTACACTACGATAATTAACAGACTATTAACCTCGTTAATAAGAAGGCATAACGCCTACGAATAAGGCTATAGCATATTAATATTCATAACTAGTAAGCGCGTTAATCAGTATAGCAGGGCCTCTTTAAGGTTACGTACGTTAACACGAAAAAGATAATCGTGGACGGTTTAATAAAGGCATTACCGGAGGCAGGAATTAAAAAACTATAGTAATAGCTTAATTTAACGGATTAAAAGGACCGTATCGAGTAGTCTAAATAACTACACGAAGAGATTAAACGCGCTAAAGCCACGGCCGCAGTAATAATCCAGGCCCCTAAGAGCGTAGCAGATCCGATGGATATAGATCCGATTAAGCAGATCCGGCTAATCAGGATCGAGGAACCAATTAAGATAGAATTAAATTAAACGGTTAAATAGGGCGGATTTAAATCCCTTTTACGAGGGCGTTTTCTCCTAACTATTAGTTTTATAATAGAAAAGTTAAGAGCGTTTAGTTTAAACCGAAGCCTCTAATTAGTCAGTTAACCTAGGAAGACCCATCTTAACTAAGGGGGTATATCGTATAGGCAGGACCACGATATAGCCTATAGGGGATCCAGGGGGGATCCACTCATAACTAAGGGCTCCGGATATCAGGGACTTCGGGCATCAGGATATAATAAGGGTGGATACCGGAAAAGACCGGATAGGATCCAAATAACATAGTA